GAGCCGAAGTTGGATGCTTAACCGACTGAGCCACCCAGGCACCCCACTACTCTAGTGCTCATAATTCCTTTGTGTAGATCAGGAGTCTGCCACCTACAGAACATGAGCCAAGTACAGCCTACCGTCTGTTTTTACGTGAAGTGTAACTGGAATGCAGCCACACTCATATTTAGGTACTTTTGACCCAATAAGGACATACAGGAAGAGTGGTAACAGAAACAGTATGGCCTACAAAGAATAAAATATTTACTGTATGTTCCTTACATAAAAGTTTGCCAACTTGGCACACAGAGTCACATTCTCATCACATCTGAATTAGTATAAAATTTGGGATATGAAACATAATGAAACGGCAACGGTGACACAAGATTGGTCTCAATTGGAAAACTAAGAATAATTGGGAGTAGGTCTTGTACTCATGAAGAGAACATGGAATATGCAATTGTTACTTTTCAATTTGCAAGTACAGTATCTTATTACAGGTTAAAAACTTTTTGATGATATTGACATTGAAGTTATAACTGAGGCGTAAAAGACCCACCAGGCACTACTTGGTACACATTTGTAAGTGGAAGAAGCAATAAACCCTTGGCTGGGTATAAGGGTAGACAACAGGAAAAGTATGTATCTTAACAAGTCCTGGGATCAACTCCCTAGACAGTTTTCACAAATGGTATTTACCATCTTTCCATTAATTCATTACCCCACCTCACTGCTGTGTTCTCTCAATAGTGGTAAGGCTGCCATAAAGAAATAGGTCTGTGCATTCTCCAAACAGGTCATGGTTTTGGATCTATCACATATGCTCTTAAGCCCTCTGGGGAGTTCTATTGTTAAAATTTTAAAAATTCTAAGTACATGGAGTCCCAAAATTTAAATGTCTCTAGTAGAAACTTAATATCACATTTCACCAAGCCACACACCAATTGTGGATATTCCGGATCCACTGTAAATATGTTCCCATTCGGGCAATTTTCTGCTGCTTTCCTCCACCCACTTGCCCTTCCTCGTTGGTATTGGCATGATACACTTTCAGTGGTTCTGGTCAAAGATGACCTCATGTGGGTATTGCCTGAAACCACTGTTATCTGGGCAGGGCAAGCTAATAATGACGCCCAAGAGGCCATTCCCTTGGCAGTAGTTCTAAGTTCACAGTGTCAATGAGTACCATCTCCCCAGCCCCACAGAGGATGCATCGTAACAATGTAGTCACCATTTCCTGCTTTCTCTGCCCATCTTCAGAACTTGAGAACCCTACCCTGCTCTCCCGAGAAAGCATCATTATGTAACAAACATTCTCCTTACAATTCAGACAATGGAGTCATCATTCTTGACATCTGCCATCTGTTCCAGTGGAGTAAGCACAAGTGCAAACGAGCAAAAAATGTTTTAGAAGGTAAATCAGATTTCTAGTTATCAAAAGATTCCCATTGAGTATGTTCATTCTTGAGAGTAAACTCATGAAGATTTCTCTTTTCCAATTATTCCCTGAGCACTCCAGCACAAAGTATACATTGTTACCTTTATCCTTACCTCTGAAATATTCTTTTAGTTCCTAATAGTTTTCATATACCCACGACTTTTCTATTCTCTTAATGTAACGTGCAACACATGTGTCTTATTTCAGTACAAAAGACATGCTGAAATATAATCATATGGTGTATATTTCTGAATGGGAAGGCAGGTTGTCAAGGGTGAGAGTTGAAATTGCATTGCTATGTTATTTTCATTATAGCCACAAAAATAATCTGGGATATACTATGGAGTGTGTAACTCTCAAATTGAACTTATGAATATATATTTCTACAACTGCAGGTTTGAATCTAACTTGGAAAAAAAAATGTTATGGGTGACACTCAACCTAGAGAGGACAAGGATGTATTATTAGTGTTCATTATGAAATGGCCCAATGAGGTGGGATGCACATGGGCTAATAAAACATCATTCATTTAGGGTTACACAAAAGCCTATATTTTACGTACTTAGATATTATCTGAGAAATTGGGTACAATAAATCAAAATGTATCAAAATCCAAGTTTCAATCCTCACAAGCGTACTAGTTTTGCATTTTGTTTGTTTGTTTTTTCAGACAGCACAAGTAGGTGAGAGGGGCAGAGAGAATCTTAACACAGGCTCCACACTCAGCAGAGAGCCCAACGACACAACCCTGAACTGATATCAAGTCACTCAACATACTGAGCCACCCAAGAACCCCTACCTTGGTTCTGATTAAAACGTCCTCTATAACCTTGAGTTTTCAAAAATAAGAGTAATTTTATACATTACCTTTCAAAAGAGGGAGAGACTATCATTCCCCCTCCATTTTCTCTACCACATATGCCACCCCTAGTAATCCATCACTCACATGAAAATCACATTCTCTCAGTGTCCCCACCTACAGTGTTCATGATCATCTGATAGAGGAATTGTTTCCTGTACTAATCAACAAAGACTCTCAATCATACTAACCAATCTAGAGGAGAGGCTGTGACCACAGAAAACATAGCAATATAGATAATACTTTTACATCTATTCCCTGTCACTACTCATGATCTCAAATTTATACTACACTGTATCTTAAAATTAGCATCCTAGCCTTTCCAGGATATACAGGTATGATTAAGCCCCACGTTCCTTTCACGTAACCAATCCTTTCTCTGTGAAAACCATGGTTGATAAATAAAACACGTGTAAAGTAGAACATCAGTGGATTGCAAACTTGAAGTTGTAAGTCATCAATAACAATGTAGCCTCACAAATCCTCAAATAATCAACTCTTAAGTATAAAACAGAGGGTTGCTGGAGAGGTTGTGGGAGGGAGGATGGGCTAAATGGGTAAGGGGCATTAAGGAATCTATTCCTGAAATCATTGTTGCACCACATGCTAACTTGAATGCAAATTAAAAAATAATAAAAAAAACATTAATAAAAAAAGGAAACCTCAAATAATTGAGTAAAAAAAGTTATAGGGGTGCCTGGCTGGCTCATCCAGAATAGCATGTGACTCATGATCTCAGGGTTGTGAATGAGCCCCACGGTTAGATGTAGAGAGAAAAATAAAATTTTTAAAGAAGATTTAAACAGAAGATGATTAGTAGGTCTTTCCACAGATACACTTGTTCCATTGACACACTTCATCTCATGAGTTTTAAATAATTTTAATTTTCTGTGGAATTTAACACCGATGATTGGTTAATTCACAACACAGACCTAGTTCCCCCTAGTATGAATTTTTATATTGACAGAATTGTCTAAAGAAATGATGACCTTCACCTGGGTGGTTCAGGCAGTTAAGCATCCAACTTCAGCTCAGGTCATGATCTCACAATTGGTGGGTTCGAGCCCCATGTCAGACTCTGTGCTGACAGCTCAGAGCCTGGAGCCTACTTCAGATTCTGTGTCTCCCTCTCTCTCTCTCTCTCTCTGCCCCTCCCCCACTCACACTGTGTTTCTCTTTCAAAAATAATCATTCAAAAAAAAAAAAAAATTACCTTCATTACAAATTTGTAATGTTTCTGTCCAGTATGAAGTCTTTGGTGTTTCCTGAAGTTCAGAACTTGACACATATATATGGTTCCCATGTTATGTGAATTTCTTCAAGACCACAAAGCACAAAGTTGTACATTTTTTTAATCAATGTTTTTAAATCATTGTTTACTGTCTTTTTAATCACTCAAAGTCTGTATCTCTTAATCCCATTAACCTTGTTTATCCCCCTCCCCAATTTCTACATTTTTAATAAACCTGATCACACTCATTACATCTGTAAGGCTTCCCTCTAATAGTAATTATGTTCCATAAGGTATAATAAGCTTTGGATAAGCCTTGCCATAAATCCATTTTTGTGTGCTTTTTTCAGAGATTTGTTTCAGATATCAGGTGAGGTGTGAACCCTGGTTATCAGCTTTCCCTCATACATTAGTTCCACATGGTTCCTCTCCCTGATGGAATCTCTGATGTTGAGTAAGGCTTGAACACTTGCTCATTTTATTTGTAAGGTTTCTTTCTATTATGAGTTCTTTGATGATCTGCAAAGCTTGAGCTTTAATAAAAGCACTGCCACACATATTAGGTTTATACTTTATTTTCACAGTTTATTTTCTGATGCCTAGTAAGTTTTGCAAATCGAGTAAAAACTTTGCCACACTCATTACATTTATAAGGTTTCTCTCCAATATGCATTTTCTTATGCTGAATAAGATGTGAATGCTCCCTAAAGGTTTTGCCACTCAATACATTTGTATGGTTTCTCTCCAGTATAACTTCTCTCATGACTCTAAAGGTCTGAACGTTTGGTGAAAACCTTAGCATATTTATTACGTTTACAAGGTTTTTCTCCTGTATGAATTCGCTGATGTTCCACAAGGCTTGAATTTCGGGTAAAAGCCTTGTCACACACATTACATTTGTGTGGCTTCTCTCCAGTGTGCATTTTCCAATGCCTACTAAGCTTTGCAAATTGGGTAAAAGCTTTGCCACACTCATTACATTTGTAAGGTTTCTCTCCAGTATGGATTTTTTTATGTTGAGTAAGATTTGAGCGCTCAGCAAAGGCTTTGCCACACTCACTACATTTGTAAGGTTTCTCTCCAGTATGAGTTCTCTCATGACCCAAGAGGTGTGAACGTCTGATAAAAGCCTTATCACATTCACTACATTTATACGGTTTTTCTCCTGTATGAATCCTCTGATGTTCTATAAGGCTAGAACTTTGGATAAAAGCCTTGCCACATACATCACATTTGTGTGGTTTCTCTCCACGATGTGTATTCTGATGTCTAATGAGATGTGAGCACTGTTTAAAAGCTTTGCCACACTCATTACATTTGTAAGGTTTCTCTCCAGTATGGATTTTCTTGTGTTGAGTAAGATTTGAACGCTCAGAAAAGGCTTTGCTGCATTCATTACATTTGTAAGGTTTCTCACCCGTATGCACTCTCTCATGACTCCAAAGTTGTGAACGATGGATAAATGCCTTTCCACATTCATTACATTTGTAAGGTTTCTCTCCAGTATGCACTTTCTGATGATTTGCAAGGTTTGAATTTTGACTACAGACCTTGCCACATATGTTACATTTATATGGTTTCTCTCCTGTATGGACTCTCTGATGTCTGGTGAGACTCGAAACCCTGTTAAAGGATTTGACACATTCATTACATCTGTAAGGTTTCTCTCCAGTATGGATTTTCATATGTCGAATAAGACGTGAGCGCTCAGAAAAGGCTTTGCCACAGTCATTACATTTATAAGGTCTCTGTCCAGAATGAACGATCTCATGACTCATGAGGTTTGAGCTTTTGCTAAAAGCCTTCCCACATTCATTACATTTGTAAGATTTTCCTCTAGTGTATGCTCTCCTGGCTTGTGCAGGTAACAAAGGATATTTAGAAATCTTCCTAGATTTATACCAAATGTTTCTGGTACTGGGAGGAATTCTTTCAAGTGGTGAGACTGAGGAACCATTGCTGACAGACTTCTCAGTGGGATTACATTCATACATTTTCTCCTCACTATGAAATGTCTGCAGTTTGGGCAGATGTGCCTGAGAAATTAATCCACTTCTATTTTCCAAGCAGTTTATGTACTGGTTTCCAGCACCACTTCTGTTATTGTCCATTTTTAATAAATTCCTTATAAATGGCTCATCATGCATGAAATGCTGGTACGTATTGTTTCTCACAGAAACACCCTGCTTTTCAGGAAGAGTAACTGAGGACTGATTAAGTTGCTGATCTTTTCTCCAAGTGAGATTTTTGTCATGGGTCAAAGGCACTTCTTTGTAATTTCTTGCATCACATTGCCACTGACTTTCAAACTCATGCATATCTTCCCAAACTTCCTGGAGATCAAAATCCTTGATGCCATGACTTTCATTTCTCTCCAATAACACTAAGTGATAAAATTTGCCTTTATTAATGTCCTCTGTTGGTGATAATTCCTTGATTGCAAATCCAGCAGAAGTACTTCCTATCAGAGTTGGAAAGTAAATATTTTATAGTAAATTATATGATTACACACCAAAATACTTTACACTGAACACAGGAAGTTTCTCAAACATGGTCTTCAAACACTATTGCTAAATACAATGTTTTTAAGTTTCTTTTTATAAATGTGGGGATAGTGCTTATACTTACACATCTATAGGAATATGATTGTGTTATTAAGTTAAAAGCCTGACCTTACAAACAGCACCTGATGTAGCAATAGACATAATACTGACTCATCCTGTAAGAACTTATACTATGGATATGAAGGACAAGTGGAAAACATTCAACGGGGAGACAGTATAGTGTTGTAGGAAGATTGTAGGCTTACATCTATTTCAGTATTTGCTCTAAAAATTATCAAACTAAGTATCCCATGTCCATTTTTAGGTATATACTCCAAGGAATTAAATAATATATACATGTTCCAGGAGACACATACAAGAATTTTTTTTTGAAGTTTATTTAAAGACTGAGCTTGTGAATGGGGGACGGACAGGGAGAGAAAGAGAATCCCAAGAAGTCCTCACACTGTAAGCGCAATGTACAATGCGGGGCTCAAACTCAGGAAATATGAGATCGTGACCTCAGCCAAAATCCAGAGTTAGACACTTAACAGTCTGAGCCACCCAAGTTCACCAATATAATGTATCATTATATACAAAAGCTATGGCAAATCAAGTTAATGATATGTCTGTGACTAAAGCAGTAACTTAAAAAAAAAAAGTATGCTTTCAAAATATAAAAAATACTCAGGTTAAAGAATGCCACAGGGGCATCTGGGAGGCTCAGTCTGTTGAGTGCCCGACTTTGACTATGGTCATGATCGTACCGTTTATAGGTTCAAACCCTGCTTCAGGCTCTGTGCTGACAGCTTGGAGCCTGGATCCTGCTTCAGACATTGTGTGTGTGTGTCTCTCTCTCTCTCTCTCTCTCTCTCTCTCACCCGTACCCTGTTCATGCTCGCTCCCTCTCAAAAATAAACATTAATAAAAAAGAGATAAATTTAATTGAGGTAAATATGTATTGTAACAATGAGATATCACTACACGTGAGAATGGTGAAAATCCAGAATGCTAACACCAAATACTAGTGTGAATGTGGAACAGTAAGAACTCTCATTCATTGCTGATGGGAATGCAAAATGGTATGCCACTTTGGAAGACAGTCTGCCCTTTCTTAGAAAACTAAGTGTACTCTTAAATATGATCTAGCAATCACACTCCTTGGTATTTACACAAATGAGTTGAAAATTTATGTCCCCATAAAAACCTACACACGAAATAGAGGAATCCTAAAATGTGTATGGAACGACAGAAGACTGTGAAAGCCCAGAGCATCTTGAGAAAAAAAACAAACCTGGAGGCATCACATGCCCTGATTTCAAACGCCTTAATTACAAAGCTGCGGTAATTAAATAAGCAGGGTATTAGGGGCGCCTAGGTGGCTCAGTCGGTTAAGCATCCAACTTCGGCTCAGATCATGATCTCACAGTCTGAGTTCAAGCCCCACGTTGGGCTCTGTGCTAACAGCTCGGAGCCTGGAGCTTGCTGCAGATTCTGTGTCTCCCTCTCTCTGACCCTCCCCCATTAATGCTCTATCTCTGTCTCAAAAATAAACATTAAAAAAATTTTTTTAAATCAGCAGGGTATTAGCATAAAAATCGACACACAGATCACCAGAAAAGAGCTCAGAAATAAACCCACACACAGTCAATTAATTTACAACAAAGGAGACATGACTATACAATGCAGAAAAAACAATCTCTTTAGTAGATGGTTTGGGAAAACTGCACAGCCACAGGCAAAAGACTGAAACTCGACCACTGTCTAACGCCATACACAAAAAGTAACTCACAATGGATTAAAGACTTAAATCTAAGACCTGAAACCAAAAAATTCCTATAAGATAGGGGGTAATAAGTTCCTTGATAGAGGTCTAGGGAATGATGTGGTTTTTTTTTTCTTGTTGTTTTTGACTGTTAACAGCAAAAGAAAAAACAACAAATGCAGAAGTAAGTGGGACTACATCAAACTAAAAAGTGCACAGCAAAGGAAACACTTTTTCAACAAAATGAAAAGGCATCCTTAATAAATAGGAGAAAATATTAGCAAATTAAGTATCTGATAAGGGCCTAATAATCCAAAACATAGACAAAAATCGCTCAAATAATCCAACTAGAGAAATGGGCAGAAGATCTGAATAGATATTTTCGAAGACCTAGAGATGGCCTAAAGGACCATAAAAAGAGACTTAACGTCCATTCATCATCAGCGAAATGCAAACCAAAACCACAATATCACCTGACACCTACTGGAATGGCAGTTCTCAAAAAGACCAGAAATAACAAGTATTGCTGATGGGGTGGAGAATTTGTGCACTGTTAGTGGAGCCAAAATTGGTGTAGCCAAGAGAACTACTGTGTGATCCACCAATTTTACCTGAGTATGTATCTGAAGAAAACAAAACTACTAACTCGAAAAGATAGAAGCGTTCGGATGTTCACTGCAGCATCATTTACAGTAGCTGAGATATAGACACAATCTAAGTGTCCACTGATGGGTGAATGGGTAAAGTTGTGTATATATAACACAATATGATCCAGCCATAAAAAAGAACAGAACTTGCCATTTGTGACAACATGGATGGACCCTTGAGGACATTATGTTAAGAGGAATGAGTCAAAGACCAATACATTATGATTTCTCTTATGTGTGGAATCTTAAAAAAACAAAAGAACCCCTCTTAGATAGAACATACTGGTGGTTATTAGAGGCAGGTATTGAGGGGAAGGTGGCAGAAAAGGGTGAAGATGATTAAAATGTTTAAAAAAAAAAATGAGGGATGCCTGGCTGGCTCAGTGAGTAGAGCATGCAACCCTTGATCCTGGGGTTGTGAGTTCAAACTCCACGATGGGTGCAGAGTTTACTTAAAAACAAAACAAAAATTGCTGCTGCCGCTTGAGTTCCTAAAACAATAAAAAGAAAACAAAACAAAACCAAGCCCCCCAAAATATCCATATGGTACTTTCTGTATTCCAGGAATACAATACAATACACATCTATGGAAGGATACAAGTTCTTCCCACAGAAAAGCTCGTTAGAGATATCAGTAAGCTGTGCTGTACTTACACTATATCTAATTTTGGATTTTCACTTTTTGGAATTATCCAAATCATGACTTCTTCCTAATTAATGCACAAGCATTCAACCTCAAGAAGCCAGGATGGCCCAGGAAAGAAAGAGATAAACTTTAGGTCTACTTTATTAGACAGATACTACGTTTTGTTTGTCTCCTGAGAAGTTCTCCCAGGGATACAAAATGGAAACGGAAAGTGAATAGGTCCTGGGGTCTGCACTACAGAGGCCTCAGCTCAGTCCTCCTCAAACCAAGGCACCAGTATGGTCAGAGGGGCCAGGTGCTATCAGTTGCAGGTCCTATCAGTGGGAGTTTAAACTTCTACACATGTGACTTACTCATTTGAATACCAGAATGAGAAGTGTGTGTGGGTGGGGAAAGATTTCCTCTGACAGCTCCTAAGAATAAACTTGTATTTTCCCACAAATTGTTCCCAAACAATATTTACTGGAGCAGCTTACTCTCTGCTCATCTGAGCTCTGACTTGTGCTCACATCCCCATACATTCCCTGAATGTTCCCCTATATTCACTTCACTTTCCACAGTCCAGGGCTCTTCTCCCTGGAAACAGGTGATGGGGATGATATTCAGCTCAGGAAGAGATTTTCAGTTAAAAGAAAAACGGAACATGATCTGCTTTACTCTTCCAGAACACATGCCCAGCACTTTGTTCAGCAAAGAAAAGAAGAAAGGACATTCATTATATGTGGGTGAATATTAATCAACTGACTGCCTGAATGCTTAAGGGGTATTTTAAGTATGCAGAGATCTGGTTCTTTTCTAAGAACGACTGAATAAAAAGCACAAGGGCACAAGGGTAAGACCACAGAATCAGAGATTTAAATAAATTCACCATAATGTTTCCTTTTCCCCCCAATTTTAAATAACATTATTCTCTCTGAGCCTTGTCTTTAAAGAGGTCAGAGAAATTGGACTTTGCTAAGAATTCAAGGGTTTTAGGTCCTATTCCCCAGACTCTGAGATTTTTACTTAGATTCTAGTTAGTTAGCAGAGTGTAGTACTGGTTTCAGGAGGAGAATTTAGTGATTCTTCACTTACATAGAACACCCATCACCAGTTCCCTCCCTTTAGCTTCTCTGACTGCTAAGTTCTGCAACCACCTAAACAAGCAGGAATGCAGAACTTCTGAAGGAAAGGGAAGTTAGAGTCCATTTGCCACATTATGAAGCCTTTCCATTCTCAATCAAAATGGCTGCAATCAGTCCTTTCAAGAATAGGGATGTGAAACTCCTATGATCAAGTCGGGGCCTCTCAAGAAACTGCAAAGTCACATAAAATTAACTACCGACTTCTGAAGGGAAGTTATCCTCACCCAGGGAGACCAGGTTCCTGTAGTTCTCCAACATCACGTCCCTGTACAAGGCCCTCTGAGCGGGGTCCAGGCACTCCCACTCCTCCTGAGAGAATTCTATGACCACATCCCTGAATGTCAGCCATCCCTGAAATGAAAACACACTTCACCAAGTGAACACAG